TGGAACCTTCTTTTTGTTGTTTATCATGTTCTTGCGAGACATGAGTATTTTAAGTGTTGAACTCTGGAACCTTCTTTTTGTTGTTTATCATGTTCTTGCGAGACATGAGTATTTTAAGTGTTGAATTATGGAACCTTCTTTTTAAACAGATTGTATTTACCAAACTGTATGTCAATCTAGTTTCTGTGATATATATATCTTATTTTGGAATTGAACCCTGTTTTCAAAATTGTATTTACTATCCATGTTGCTACTCACTGAGCTATCAGCTGACTTAGTTGTTTACCATTTCCAGGTGTTAGAAGGACTTAGAGTGGACTCATGGCGTAGCGGGGACTCAATTGCATGGACCTCTAGGGCATTCCTTTAGTTTAGAGTGTTATGTCAAGTTTGTGCATATTTATATTTATTCTTATCGAAGTTCATTTAGGATTATTTTTGATATGTGGGTTGTTTATATCCCATAAGTTTGGATGGTTTTTTATTACGGTTGATTTTGTCGTTTATAATTGTGACATGTCAGGATTGAGTTTTGGTTATTTATTATTAGACTATTGTTCAGTTGTTCAATGTGATTGGATTCGTGTTTAGGCTTACGTGTGCCTTGGGCTAAGTCCCTGTGGGCCACGGCCGGTCATGCCCGGATTTGGGATGTGTCATTAGGTGTTGCATACTCCAAGAACATTGTGCACATATATTCCTACCATGGTGGCAATGATGTACGAAACCATCTACAGGTTTGTGCCACAATCAATCAACTGGGAGTCCATTGATTTTCTTTTGCTTTGATTTTTTTTTCCTGTCAATATTTCTAGTGTTCAGAGCTCACTTTAAATCTCTGCACAATATCGTTTTTTGTAAATACCTTTTTTTGGTTATCCAGATTGATGCTCATTCTAGTAGTGTTAACGATCTTGCATTCTCTTACCCAAACAAACAACTTTCTATTGTCACATGCGGGGAGGATCGGCTCATTAAGGTTTGGTTTCTATGTCATTGCTTTACAAGTAATGCAAAGGATTGGACATTAGTTGTAAAGGTTTAATTTTCTACAGGTGTGGGATGCAGTTACAGGGAATAAGCAGTATACTTTTGAGGGTCATGAAGCGCCCGTCTATTCTGTATGTCCACATCGCAAGGAAAACATTCAGGTATTCTTTGTTCACTATATAATATATAAAAGAAAGCATTGAAATTAATGCTAAGCAGTGTGTAATATATGAAGAAATATGCGATGTAGGTGCCATGTCATGCCATATATTCTGCCATTAGTGATAGTGATATATGGTATTCTTGCGAAGGAAAACAGAGGCAGCTTTTTCGTGTTGCTTTATCATCAAGGATCACCTCAGTTTTGCTCTTGTGAAATGCTCTGCAGTTGGTTTTGTTTAGTGCAGTGTTTTGGAAAATGCCCTGGGTGGTGGTTCTGCAGTTGGTTAAAGTAGGCTGAAGTATGCTTGTTCTTGTGAAATGCTCTGCAGTTGGTTTTGTTCAGTGCAGTGTTAATCTGAAGTATGCTTGTTCAGTGTTTGTTTGTTTGTTTGTATACTAGTGTGGTGCTATTTCTTGGTTAGTCCTCATTACATAAAAAGTGGCTTTCTTATTTTTGTAAATTGGGGGCAAATTAGTCTTTTCACATTCAATCCCATGAGATTGGATTAGCAATCCCAACCCTGCCATGGGAATGCTAATTTCGCCCTTGAGGGGGATTGTAGTCCCATGGTATTTTATCACAACCAGACATGATTTTGGTGGGGCCCCTAGATTGTTAATCAGTCCCACCCTCTAAGAGGCCAAACAAATGTTTCCTAAAAGGCTAGTCCCTTAATCTGTCAATTAAGTCTCTCTTTTAGATTTGATAAGCTTTCATACAGAAACTAACTTTAGCTGCTACATGGAGTTGCATATATGTCATTAAATTCCTGCAGTGCACGCATAAAAAGGAAGAAAAAAGTGGAACAGAGTCCAAGCCTAGTAGATTAAAGAGTTTCAAGAAATTGGCTATAGCATTTCTAATAGACAGTTATCATACGTAATGATTGGTGCTCTTCTATTGTTAATTTGTAAGTACTATTTATTCCATTTATAAAAAAGACATTCTCTTGAAGCTAACATGATCCAACAATGGGTTCTACAAGTGCCAACCCTTTTCTTAATAAATTGCATTCCTGGTTCTATTCTCATTATTGTTTCATCACAAGTCATGCACTAGATATAGGTTTTTGTTCACTGCAGAAACTTTGTTGATAAAACATTTTTCATCGTGTAGGTCAAGACATTCAAACCTTAATTAGTTGTTGTTAGGAATGAATCATTGGTTGATGAGCTCAAAGAGGCTTTGGCAGATGTTGAAGACAAGCTTGAATTTATTGCTAGCGAGCAAGGTGCCATTGAGGTTAGCCTATCTAGTTTCCTCACCGCTCACTCCTTACTTGTTTTTCTGAAGAAAGTTGTAATTCTCATTACTATATGGATATTACATGTAATTTGTTTCTAAGTTGCTCGCCACCCAGATGCTATCACTGTAGTCACAAAATAGTAGGTTGCGCAGGTTTAAAGATAAATTCACAAATCGTTTGGTTTAATTGTTTTTCCTTTTATCTTTCATTCTGGACTATTTTAGCCGTAACATATAGAGCCCATCTTTGATCATGATACTGAGATCTTCTGGTTTAATTTTGATTTATGTATGTGAAATGCATCACATAAAGTAAGAGTATTAACCTTTGGGGCAATTGCTTACCAGTTGGACAGATAAAAAAAACAAAATTAAAAAACCCAAAATATGGAGGGTTGCAAGTGAGATTTGCAGTCGCACAGTTTTTCACTTACACCCCATCACATAATCATTTGTACCGCCAATGTTTTTGTATTTTTTTTTTTTGTGCAACTGTTAAGTAATTCCCCCTTAACTTTTTATGTACAAAAGGACATGAGGGATGGCTTTTTATTCACTAACACATATATTTTGTGTTTCAGATAGATTATGCCTGTCAAATTCGTAGTTTCCAAATAGGAATAGTTTAGGAGCTCTTAAAAGTCCATGTATAGTTGGACCCAATCCTATGTGTGTGTGCTATCCAATTTATACTTCTACTTCTCTACTATAATGAGTTAGCATTTAAACCCCCAAAACCATATCTACCTTATCATTTCTCCTAACCCAAAATCATATCTTACCAACCTTAAACCTTTCCTTTTAAATCCTTCAACTCTAACCACTACACATCATTGAAATCAACTGCTTATTAATATTCACGGCCATACTATCACAGCTCCAAACTGTTGCCTCTCTTTGTAAAATCATAGCCCTAAACTCTTCTCCTTCTCTTGTATCCAAACAAACCCTTAAACTCTATTGTTTTGCCCACTAGTTGCAACAAAATCTTAGCATAATCAGTCTCTAAAAAACTTTTCTCATCACTGCCCAACATGATTTTTTTTGGCATCAGAATTGTTGAAATCTGCCTCTGCCCTGCTCATACTTCATACATCAAATGGTTAGTAAGTTCATCATGTCAATGTGCAACTTATGATATGGTAAGGACGGATTGTTGATCCTAATGTAGGTGTTGCCTTGTTAACATTGATAAACATTAATCTAAATACAGAAATACATAATTATAGTACTTTTCAACAAACTTTAGTACCTTAAAGAAGATAGAACATAAACACCAGAAACTCTTAACAATTTGATGTTGCCAAAAATAAGAGACCAAATAATTGAAGAGCTTCATTTATCAAACTTACCTCAAGCCAAAAACCAATTACAGAGGAACTTGAAGGATTTGTTTCTTAAACAATTGGAATTTGTTTTTAGATAATAACAGATGCTTGTATGACTAACAGCTAGAGAAGTGCTCAATATTAACACAGGGCATAAGCTTAAAAGCATAGAACATGACTTTTTACATCAAATAAATATACGCATAGCAGCTACATCCATAATTTATCAACCAAAGCACATCAAATGTAAACCTGGTTTCAGATGCTAAACTAATTTTTCTATAGCAGACACAGAGGTATTAAATTAAAAAGATGATAAGTGGCAAAACAAAAAAAGATTCACATCCTGATCTATTTGTATGTTGGCATCATCAAGCGTTTTGTCCAAATCATTCATCAAGGCATGTTTTCGGCGGCCATAATAGTCCCAAATCCATACCTGCGCCAGAGGATTCTATTAACCAAACTTATGGTTTTCTATTAAGTAATTTGACATTTATCAAGACATTTGCTTCCGGAATTCTTGTTCCCAAGTCTTATATATGGCTTGTAGATAATCTATATTTACAGCCTCATACCTCAGTTGTTTGTTGTTTGTTTTGGATGCTCATAAAGAAGGTCTAGAAGTTTTTGCGTCAGATTTTGCAAATGACGTACCTTTTGCCTACAATTTCAGTTATAACCCTGTAGCTGAGTATCTATCTTTTATTGACAATGGAAACTTCTCTGTGGATGGTGTGCTTTCTAACTTCCCAATAACTCCATCAGCGGCCATAGGTATGTAGCTCACTCGTATCATTTTATAGGTCTCAGTCAATAGAATGTAAATCAGTGCTGATTGAGAAACTGTTTTTGTATACAAGTCTACATGTGTTAAATAATTCACATCGGCCAACCCCTTTATTTAAAGAGATAAAAACCAAATATTTATTTGAAGACATGTAGCTCAATTTGATTGGAAGAAATATTTATTTCCTTTTCCTGTAGGTCCCATGTGCTAAAGTGGCTTATTTTAATTAGCCCGTTTATTATCTTTGAAACTGCATCATTTTGACACATGTGATTCAGCCATTTGTGTAACTGTGAATTGAAACTTTTAGACACATGGCAATATTTTACTTGCCAATGAGTAGTTATTCCTTGGGTGCATGCCAGATTTCATTTGTCAAAGTTTTTTTATGAAAGTTTTTGACCATTTCTACATAAATACTTAAATTTACTACTAGATTCATACTAATTGCTTAATCTCATAATCATTTCTTCAGATGTTAATTTTTTCTCTCTTTTCTAATATTGCAGCTTGTTTCTCTCACAGAGGCAGAAATGTGTCAGGACAAGGTATGCTACTATTATGTAGTGCTTCCTCCTTGCGACAGATTTTGTTCTTCCTGTTTTGCTTGTGGGTGGTATTAATGTCTGTGTAGTTTCTTTCTTGTGTATCTTTCGATGTACCATTATGAATTATTGGTTAAATAATTTGTTTTGCCGTGTCCATGGTTCAGAAAAGCCTTTGGTTATCTTATCAAAAGGATCGAGTGGGGACTACCCTGGTTGTACTGATTTGTGTAGACATTTGAACGAAATATATTACTTATTCAAGAAAATAAATTAGTGATTGGGGTTTTTTTGAGCAAATAATATACTAGTAATCATAGACACAAAAATCTAGTGAGACATATGAGTAAAGTCAGGAACATTTGCAAGTGAAAATATGAAGTATGGACATCAAATGCCTCACTGAATGCTTTTTCGAACAATCAAGGAAAATGGATAAGTAGGGCACATTGTGTAGTTGGAATTCACACCGCTAATTCTCCACCACTCATTAGACAATGTGAATGACCCATCTTCAATAGTGCTAGTTGATGCTTGATACGAACCCATTCCAAGAAGCCGAAAGTACTCATTTAGTAGCCGCACCTTAGGGTTGGTGTTGGTGTTACTGAATCTGGAAGGGTAAGCAGTAAAAGCATAGAGATCCCAGAGTCTCGCTGGCTTTGTACATCTCACCAATGCATCAAATATAGCTCGTCTCTGCAAAGTTTACAATTTACCTGCATCATTTTCTATCATGTGGAAGAAGCAATTCGCAGCATTAAATTTGAACATCTAATAAACAATTAATTATTTTTAACTTACTAATGATTTTCTCTATCTATAGTTGAGAGCTTCTCTCTCTATAGCTTCTGGCCAGGGAGAAAGAGTTTCTTTCATATCTATATCCTTTGCCTTAGATTAACGTTGTGGTGCCTCTCCTTCAATATCTTTTTTTCCTTTTGGGTTGCATTCACTTCTTTGGGTGTGGAAGCTATTTCAATGTCTTTTTTTCCTTTTGGGTTGCATTCACTTCTTTGGGTGTGGAAGCTATGTTTCCCTGGTTTGGTTGTCCTCTTCTCCAATTCTATGACATTTGTTATGATGTTTGGATCCAGATGCCCCTTTGTTTATGCTTTTGTATTATGTTTTTCATGGCTTACCAATGCCACCAAAATGATTGGCGTAATCATCTCTTATAGCACAGAAACATGAAATTCAAGCACAACAAGAGGAAATTCAAGCACAAAGCAATGTGATAGCGAAGATGAATGAGGCGAGTGAGGAGCATTTGAAGATGACATCAAGCATCATGGAGTTTCTTAAAAAACAAGGTTTCAATAAATAATTTAGAGGAGGCATCCCATGAACTCATAGATCACCTTTTTGGTAAGCCTATCTTATTTTATCTTTTTATTTTTCTCATATTTGTTAGTATATATTGTTAAAGCATAGCAGTTTAAGAAAGTCAACTTCTCATATCCACTTATAGTTGTAGTCATATCAAATGTTGTAGATCTAATTGGAATCAACAGTAACAAGCTAATGTGTGAGCCTATAACATTATCTGATCTAAGATTTTTAGCATCAAAATTGCAGTATTGCCACATTGAACATTGTTTTTTTGTGTATGTTGAAGATGGATCATATTAATAGAAATCACTTAGCATACCTACTGTTGTCTGGTCCTATTTTATATTAATAGAAATCACTTAGCATACCTACAAGGGACAAATCTTCCAATAGGGTCCTAGAAATTTTGGTTATTTAAGTTGATGACAATACCTCTAGATGGTGGGAGTTTGGCTGGCTAATTATTGGTTTCACACTTGGGTAGGGTATCCTCGGAGGCATCATAAAAATAAAGACATTGATCATTGCTTGCAATTTTCAGTTGGTAGCATTTCCCCCCCCCCCCTTCTCTGTTTTTTCACTGCATACATTTGCATACCGTAAAAAGTTATTTTATTAAATAATATATTTACTCATGTTATTTATATATCTCCTGTAATATTTTATATACGCTATACGATTCCAAACATCATTACAAATTTGTTTCTTATTCTATAGAATACAAATTACATTGCAAATTCTAACATATATACACTATTAGTTTTGAAGCTAAATTCTCAAGTAATTCAGATTTCCTTTACAAAGAGAAATACAAATAGCATGACCTCATTCTAAAAACTAAATACAAACAAGATTCCCTAAATACCAGCAAGTTACCAAAAGACATCACATATTTGTCTTGCATAATTTAGAGACTTGCAAGCTTTCAATTGTAATAAACCTTCTACTTCTGGATGTCTAGTAAGATCTACTCCTAGCTATCCCTTCCTGTACATCCTTGATAATATTTTCCTTGTTTATTTTCTTTGCAGATTGGTTTTCGATGACGTTTGGAAGCATACTTGCAAATCAAGATCAAATGTTGAATTTTATTTTAATTTTTGAATTGATACATAGTTCTAGTTGCAAATTAAGATCAAGTGTTGATTTTTTTTATTTTTTTTTTGTGGACACCATGTTGGTTCATTTTGGGATTTGCTATAATGGTTTTCATGAATATATTTTGATTTATAATATAAATTGTTTAGCGAATTTTTTGTGTGGAGTAGTGAATATTAGCTAGTGAATTTCTTAGTACATTTAGAAGACGATTGGGATATGAGCAGGCATATTGTGAAATGATAATTTAAAATGAAATATAAAATATGAAACAAGTTTAGTGACAAATTTTTTCGTCATCTATACTTTTTATTATGACAAAATGATTATTCGTCACTAATAAATATTTTTTATGACAAAATTTATCGCAGCTTATATATGAAAGTTTTCATTGATTTTGTTGTTTGATGATTAAAAATTTCGTCACGTTTACATATTTTTGTTACGAAATATATTTCGTCACCCATGTCTGACTTTTGGAGACGAAAAATTTCGTCAACTTTACATCTTATTGTGACGAAATTATTTTCTCATCAATGATCAACATGTGTGACAAATTTATTCGTCAACTAAAGTTATAAATATGGTATTGAATAACTATTTGGTGACGAAAATGAGGATATTTGGTGACAAAATGTTGTCTTATTGGTGACAAAAATTTTCATCACTAAATTAATTTCATTGGTGACGAATTATTTTTCGTCACGATGCTTTTTAGTGACAAACATTCAATGACGAACCTAGTGACGAAAATATTTCCTCACAAATATCTATAGTGACGAAATTAGCTCTTTGAAGACAAAAAAAATTCGTCATCCAAGACCCAACTTGTTGTAGTGCACCTTTTCTATGATAAACGTAGTTTGATGTTGCATCTCCATCCCTTTATGATATTTGTGTGGTTTTGCACTGCTCGTGATTTGATTATCTCAATTACATTGCATATCATTTGCACTGTTTCATCACATTGTTTTGTAATATTGTGTATCATTTGCATCCTACCCCTGAACTACGCTAGTTTGATTCCTTGCAAAGTGATACGTAGGCAGCCCGCGGGCGCAACCATTTATTTATCAAAATTTTGCTTGTTTGTCCAAGTCTTCGGCCTTGTCAAAAATGGGTCATCTCTGGGCTTTGACATTCACTCACGTCATTTCATGACTTTCGAGCTCTGTCAAAGAGGGGCAGCTGTAGAGACCCCATTTTTGACCGCCCTTAAGACTTGGGCACTACTGATGGCTTCTTTGGTGATGAAAGATGTGCAGGGCAAAGGTTTGATTTCTTTGGCAAGGAGAGCGTCAAATCCAAACCTCACACCCCATTGTTGGACCAAAAGATTTTAGATCTTAAAACCCTCTCTTTCAAAATATTTTAAAAAAAGGTTTTTGCGATGCTCCGAGGCTCACATTTTGTTAAATATTGCGCTTTTTGATAAACCGAGCAAGGACAAAGTGGAAATGAATGAAAGAGAGATGAAATCTTTGAAAAATCTTTCAAAACACCTTGTTTAGGGGTTTGGATTTGAAGAAAAGAAGAGTGGAGAGAAGAAACCTAGTTGAGGAAGAAGTTGGGTATAAATCCCTAAGAGAAAGTTGAGCGATCCTCGCTAAATCAAGCATATCTGTCTGTGCACTTGGATTTAAGCTATAAGGCCACCACCATTGGAAAGAATACTTCTGGGGCTTCATTTTGTACTCAAGAATCTCCTAAAGCCGAGTCCGGATGGGGGAGATATGATTGGTTGAAGTTGGGCATCATTCCGGTTGGACCGAAACTGAGCAGTCTTCACTAAAAGAGGCATAACTTTTTTCACAGTTGGAATTTTGATGCAAGACTGCCACCATTGGAAAGCTTACTTCCAGGGATTCATTTCGAACACATGAATGACTTGAAAAAGGAGTTCACATGAAGGAGTTATGCCCATTTGAAGTTGGGCTTGAAAAACAGATTTTTGTGGCTGATCGGCCAAAAAAGTAGCAGATAAATAGCAGATCGGCACAAAAGATGGACGATCGGCCATGAGTGACCCAAACTTAGATTTTTTGAAGATATTTCACCTCTAGCTGTTCCACACAACCTTCAGCTGTCCCACACAACCTCCAGCTGTCCCATATTTCAACCAAAAGCTTTGAATTGCTATATATGAAGCCAAATATCTCATATTCAAAGGGTGAGAACTTCTTAAACAAGTTTTGAGAGCTTCTCTCACTAAAACTCCCTCTCTCTCTACAATTTTCATGGCTTGATCTCTGCCCCTCTCTCTAAAGCCTCTCCCTCTTGCCTTTTGTGCATACAAGTAGAGAAATACCTCTCTTTTGCCTAGACATCCTTGGTGAAAGTGGTCCATCTATGGGTTAAGGGTGCTTGAAGCTTACTTGGAGCCTTGTTTGAGCTCTAAAAGGAGGATTAAAGCTTGGTTTAGTGCCTCTTTTGTGCCTAGTGTGTGCTTTGCTTCAAAGGTATACAACTTACCCCATTTAAGCTTGTCTTGCACTTTTGATTTGCCATCTTTCTACACTATTTTTGGCTTGGTTTTGAACTAAAGAAAGGTCTGATTTTCAATCCTAAAAATGTTGGTTTAAGCCTTGTTTGGCTAGGGGGTTGTCTCTCCTTTTCGTTCCTTAGCTTGTATAGCTTTTGAGCCATCTTCCAAGGCCTTTCAAAACAACTTTTTGTGCCCTTTTAACCACTGAAATCCAAGGGATTTTTAGTCGTAAAAACCCTTGTTTGAGGGCCCAAATAGGAGAGGGTGGTCCCTTTTCCTCTTGTCTTGCTTGCTAGTGTTGATGGACAACCAAATGAGCATGTGTTTTTACTTCTTTATGGCTTTGTTTAGGCTCATTTTTTGTGACTTATCAAACCTGCCATAACTCTATTTTTGGCTGTCTTGGTCACCTCTTGCATGCTTTTTGCACTTGTAGTTTAAATCCTCTTTGCTAGCCTTGTTAGACTTACAAAGTAGCATGCTTTTGTGGTTTAAATTCGCTTAGTTCAAGCATGTTTTTGGTGTTATCTTGACATGTTATAACTCTGATTTTGATTGATGGATTCACTTCTTACATGGTTTATACACTTGTAGTGTATTTCTCACAAACTAGTCTTGTATGCTTCATGAAGTAGCATGCCTTTCTAGCATGATTTGATTCTATTTCAGTATGTTTTTGGTGATGTTTTGCCACGTCAAACCTCTGTTAAGGTTTGGTTTGGTTGGCCCTTGCATGCTCCATGCACTTGTAGTGCAATTCCATAAATTAGCCTAATGTGTATCATGCTTTAACATGTCATTCTAGCATGGTTTTGGCTTAACTCTAAGAAGCTTTTGGTCATGTTTTAGCATTATTAAGCTCTGATTTTTGTTGTTTTGGCCATGCATGCCATGATTTGTATAGCTATGGTTCATCCTAGCTTGTTAGCTTTGGGCAACAAGTCCACTAGGATGCATTGCTTGACCTATTTGAATGATTTGGAATCATTTGTTATGAGATTTCAGAACATGTTTCATTTCCATTCACTCACATCTTTCACTCTTTCAATGCGTTGAAGGGTTGGTCCTTTATGCCTTGGCAGGATGTTACATGTGATGTCTTTCAATAAGAATACTCTGATGAATAACTCAAATGATTCATTTTCTTTTATAAATGCATGTTAATGTTATGGTTATTATGGGTTTATTTTGAGGGCGTTACATGCGAGCTATCATTTCAATGTGTATTTGGGGTTATTTTGCCATGATATAACTCTGATTTTTGTTGGTGAAGCCATCTCATGCTTGGTTTTGATAGATGTAGTGTAACCAACCTTATTGGCCTTACATGCATTCATGCCTTATGCCCTTCATGTTGGTTTGTTTTGGCTTTGCTCCATGCATGTTTTAGAATCACTTTGGTATGCTCTAGGACTTTTTTGGGTTGCCTTGGCCATATGCTTCATGTTTTGCATAGTTGTAGTGCAAGTGCCTTGCTAGCGTTAAGCTTTGGGCACCATAGCATGCTTCATTTGTATCATGTACATGAATTGGCATCATTCCACATGACATTTCAGAGCATGTAGCATTGCCATGTTCCCACTTTATTCACACTTTGAGTGCCTCTAAGGGTTGTGCATTTGTTACCTTGTTTGTGGCTTAGTGTGTGTGCATGCATGACTAGGCATTTGTGCCTCAATCTTAGCATATTTTGGTCTTTGTTTAGACCTATTTGAGCTCTGTTCATGATTGGTTCATGCCTTTGTACCATGTATTGCATGCCTCCTTTGTAGTCCTCTTTGGTAGCTTTATGCTTTAAGGACCCTAGCATGCCATGCTTGTATTGATTGAATGATTTGGCATCATTTCATACCTTATTTCAGTGCTTATAGTGTTGCTACACTCTTACATTTGTCACTCCTTGAGCACTTTTGAGAGTTATGCTTTTATGCTTAGTTGGTGGGCTAGAGCATGTGCATGCATTGTCTTGCATTTCATGCTATCATTTCAACATTTTGGCCACTGATTTGGGCATGTTTGAGGTCTGTCCATTTTAGTTTTAGTCCATTTTGCATGTTGTTGCATGCTTATCGCGTTACATGTTGTTGCATGCTAGTTGCATTGCTTGACATTGTTGCATATTGGTAACATGCCATGTTGTTTGCATGCTTGTTATTTGCATTGTGTTTGGCATACCTTGCATTGCATTGTGTTTAGTTTGGGTGTCAAGCCAAACACGAGGAGCGAGGGACGTTTCATACTTGAAGTGATGAAACGTACCTCAATCCTCGGTCGCCGACACTCTTGATCAAACATGATAGAGTTTAAGGCATTTGTGTGTTTTTGTGCATTCATGTGATATTGATTTGTGCAACTCGGCCTCTTTGGCCATCATGCATCGAAATGCGCGATTGATGGCTCGAGAGTCGAGCACTACACACCTTTGAGTCTCAGACATGATAAGGAGTGTGGTTGCACACACATTTTCTTGCAAATACTTTTCCATGCCTCTGTTTGTGCTCTTTTGCAGCAAAAAGGAAAGTTTGTAGGAAGAGATGGCCGATCGGCTATCTGGTGTGCCGATCAGCTACAAATATTTGGCCGATAGCCTCAAATTTGGCCGATGGCCATTGTTCTCTGGCCGATGACCACTTCTCTTGGCTGATGACCTCTCAGCATATCCATGAGGTGGATCAGAGGTGTTTTGGAGATTTGCAGAGTTTTCAGAAGTTTAAAACAGTGCAAACAGAGGCAACATAAGGCACGACCTTGGATTTTCGAGCGAAGCTGACCAAGCATGCATATGCCCCTCTTCTCGAGGTTGTTTTAACTGCTTTGAATAGTTAGTTAATTTGTAATTGATTAGTTAATGTGTTAGCTAATTTAATCCATCATTGTAAATTCTTAATTAGCTTAGCATAGCTAATTTTCAATAAGGTTTTGTAATAATTAATTAGTGTAACGTAGCTAGCTAGTTGATTTATTCAGACCCTCCGTCAAGAGGTCGAATTTTGTAATAAGTGTGCGTGAGTGTGTGAATGTCTTCCAACTCCACATCTTTCTCCCTTTTACTTAACCGCTTACGATGGTTAGTTCTAGGTCATATTTTGATTAGCATCCCTATGCTATGCATGTTTGCATCATTCATCTGTATTGCATGCACCGGACTCGGCGCATTATACTAACTGAATTGTGTTTCAATTTCGATTTGAATACATGTTATCAAGTTGCATTTCATATGCCATCTTAGAATAGCCGAGCCTATTTCTAGTTGCATTTTACATGCGTTGCATTAGTCATCTTAACATAAACTAGGATCATGCATGATTTCTAACTAGTTGTTGTTTTGGTTAGGAGTACACTGTAAGTGTTTATTTTTTAGCATCTTGCATGTATGAGTGTTAACATGACAGCATGCTTGCCATGAGGCTATTTTCTTAAATGATATAACTGCCTGAATGCCCGTGGGTGAAGGTTAGATTGCTTGAATTGGAACAATTCATCAAATGCGAGTTTTAAGCCCACTTGAAGTGGCAAAATCATGTTGTTTTCTAAGTCCACCTGAGGGTGGCAAATCTGCGTCGTAGCCTACTTACGAGTAGCACTTTCAAATCACTTTCAAAAACAAACATGAGTTGTTTTGTTCCAACTTAGGCGATCTAGTCTATACTTGTGTGCTGTGCGCATCACGTAGTAAGCTAGCTGATAAATCGAAATAAGAACACGTGTATTTTCAAAAATAACATACCATGCTTAGTAGAGGCCGATCTTTGATCGGGCAAGCGGGGGTGCTTATTTCAGGACCTTCCCCTCTCGTAGCCAAGTTCCCGAGCCGAGGCAACTTTGGTAATGATGGACACGTGGCCTTAGGCACGAGTCAGGGTTTCCTAAATTTTCCAAAACAAAATATTTAGGTGGCAACTCTGAAATCTGGCGAAGCAGTCCATGTTTGGCGCTTTTTGATTAAAATTGATTTTCCAAAACGATTTGTCGGATTTAGACTCTTTGGTGATTTATCAGTCTTACATTGCACTTTGTGAGATTAGATTCAGAACTGTGACACGAGTCTGAACTGTAGTAGCTTAATGAACAAAACGATTTCACGCTTTCGCGCGCAGAGCCGGGACGCTTGGGCACGTCTACAAAGCCTAATTGTATACTAAAACATAATCTAGTTAGGGATAAGGCTTAAGTAAACCAACTTGGTTACAAGTACAAGACATGTACATAATGCATTTGTACTTTGGTCAAATATTCTTCCTAAAATAAAGCAATTTGTCTCCAAAGTACATATATATATATATCTTCAAGGGGGTGGCTGGCCCATGTGGGGTGGATTTGAGGGGATTTTTATTTTTATTTTGTGTACAATTTGTATACTATTTGTAGAAATTTTTGTGTACAAAAGATTTAAATAAGTTTAAAGTTACAACATGTATGTATTTATATATAATAGTACTAACTTGGGGCTAATAAAAATGTGAGGGTTTTGGCTTTAACTTGTAGATTGGAATGTTTATTTAAATGTAGAATTAAATTAAATTAAATTAGGGTTACAGAATCTAATTTGCTGTTGATTTCTAGTTTCGAATAAAAAGGCTATCAATCGACAAACATGATGCAAACTGGAAAAATCTAGGATTTCAAGTGGTAAATCCATATTTAGGGAGTCATTTAATCAGTATTAGGGTATTAGAGATGATTCCTAGGTTACCGAAATTGATTAGGATTTGCGAGTTTTCGTTTCTAGGGTTAGAGTTAAAATTATTTCAGAAATCAAGGGTCTTTATTACAAGATTCCACAAGTAAGAGGCTTTTAAGAAAATAAAATTTTTAGGGGCCTTACAATCACTGCCACCGCCGCCGCCGCCACCACCACCGCCACTACTATACTATCACCTTTTTCACTATTGTCATTATTTCCATAACTACCACTATCGCTATTGCTACCGCTACAACCACCATCATGCCGCCACCACCACCATCAACGCTACGGCTACCGCTATCACTACCACCGCTACCAACACAATATAAAAATTGAAATATACAATTTGAAAATAATAAATTTCAAATTTGCCCTTATACATATCAAACAACTTATTTTTAGTTCAATACTTAAATTTGTGTCAAACAACTTTTTAACTTACAAAATTCAACATTTAGTTTTTAATATTTAATTTTCAATTTTATCAAATATCACCTAATGTTGTTTTGGAAAATGCACAGAGAGAAGGCAAATATGCAATTAATCTTAATTTTCTCAACCCAAAAAAATAAAATTCAAGTTTTTTATCAAATTTCTATTAGGGAGGCCGTTCAATTTTACTTTTCAAAAACACTACCGCAAGGAAGATTCTAGGGTTAATTACACTTCATAGTTTGATTCAAATTTCAATTTTGTTCCTATAGTTTCAAATTAAACAATTTATTCCCTACATTTAGTAGTTTCAATTTGGTCATTCCGTCTAAATTTAATATTAAAATTAATATTTTTGAGACACTTGTTTTTTTTTTAAATATTTTTTATGGTGTGCACATACACAAAATTAATAGAAATTTAGATAGAATGATCAAATTGAAACTGGACTTAAAGTGTAGAACCAAATTGTTTAAATTGAAACAACATGGTCTAAAGTAAAATTTGAGTTAAAATAGAGGGTTGGAGAGTTTAATAAACCCAAAAAACTGTTTTGTCATTGAAGTACTACTAATTTCATCCCTATGTGACAGTGTCTTAACTCTGTGATTTTGAATTGTTTTTGAATATGTAGGAGTTGCATTGGGAGATAGTTGGATCTCACCAGAAGATTTTGTGGTGAGTAGTTTTGTTGAATTTGATTATTGGATTGTAATTGTTTTCATGCAAACATTATAAAATGTTTTCCAAAAACAAAATGCAGTTCTCATGGGGTCCTCTTCTCAAAGATGTGTCAAGACTTGACAGCAATGGTGCCCAGAAATCAAACAGGTCTTTATTTCTAACTTCTTCAACTAAAAAACAATGAAGACTTCTATTGTCTAACAATCCCATTTCAGAAAACAGTTTAGCTCAGCAAATTAAGCAGCAAATCGACAATGGCCAATTCGAAGACGCCACAAACTCATGGAGTGCACTTGAGGATGTGATTAGCTCCAGCAGTAATTCTGTCGTACGTGTAGTTCGCACCCCCAAAAAAATGAAATCAATTTCTTAAAATAATCTCAGAAGTGTTTGAATCGGTTAGCCTTTTGGGGACAATTTGCAGGATTTCTATAATTTTTTGTTGGATTCGGGGATGGACCCAGTGTCATTGACAGCTTCTACCACCGCCACCGCCACCACCACCACCACCACTACTACTATACTATCACCTTTTTCACTATTGTCATTATTTCCATAAGTACCACTATCGCTATTGCTACTGCTACAACCACCATCATGTCGCCACCACCACCATCAACGCTACCGCTACTACTATCACTACCACCGCTACCATCACAATATAAAAATTGAAATATACAATTTGAAAATAATAAATTTCAAATTTGCTCTTATACATATCAAACAACTTATTTTTAATTCAACACTTAAATTTGTGTCAAACAACTTTTTAACTTACAAAATTCAGCATTTAGTTTTTAATATTTAATTTTCAGTTTTATCAAATATCACCTTATAAATAAGTTTGTTTTGTCTTAATGTTGTTTTGGAAAATGCAAAGAGAGAAGGAAAATATGCGATTAATCTTAATTTTCTCAACCAAAAATAAAATTCAAGTTTTTTATCAAATTTCTATTAGGGAGGCCGTTCAATTTTACTTTTCAAAAACACTACCGCAAGGAAGATTCTAGGGTTAATTACACTTCATAGTTTGATTCAAATTTCAATTTTGTTCTTATAGTTTCAAATTAAACAATTTGTTCCCTACATTTAGTAGTTTCAATTTGGTCATTCCGTCTACATTTAAGATTAAAATTAATATTTTTGAGACACTTGTTTTTTTTTTATATAAATATTTTTTATGGTGTGCACATACACAAAATTAATAGAAATTTAGATAGAATGATCAAATTGAAACTACACTTAAATTGTAATGACCAAATTGTTTAAATTAAACTATAGGAATTAAAGTAAAATTTATGTCAAATTATAAGAGTGAAAAGTATAATTAACTCAAGATTCTAAATTCACCCATTAATATTTTGTCTGCATCACACGTACAAACATTTCTTGGGCAAATTATATTTTTTTCCTTTATAATTTAATCAAATTTTATTTTGATTCATATTGTTTTAAATTGAACAATTTAGTTCTTACACTTTAAATTCAGTTTTAATTTGATAATTTTATTCAAATTTCTGTTAATTTTTGTTACTTGTACATCTCAGGAAATTTAACTTCAAAATTAAACCGAATAACCAAATTGAAATTAAATTTAAAGTGTTAAGACAAAATTGTTGAATTTAAAATTATATAAATCAAAGTGAAATTTGAGAAATTATAGGAGTTAAAAGCATAATTTATTCATATTTCTTCATAAAGTACAAAGTTTACTAGGATGTAGAGAATAATTAAAAATGCATATTTGACAGTAATGTATCAATAACTCAGATTTTTAGCGTGATAGTGTGTGCTTGGAAATAATGGGGGATATGGAAGGAAAAATGTAGTTTTGCATCTATTAAGAGAAAATATGAATAGAAGGAGGGTCAAAGCTCAACTCATCAACTCTGAACATATGAAATACCATCACAACACATCTAAAAATATGATTTTAAACTTCTAATAACATGTATATGAAAAAGAAAATAAAATGAGAGATGATGTTGTGGCTTACTTGATATTTGATTGAATTGCTAACAAAACTTTCTCTTTCTCTCTTTTCCTTCACCAAGCTCACTTTCTTGCCCTCTCTTTCCTCTCGGCTGAATATCTAAGTGTGTGAGTGTGTTTTGTGCTCAAAAGTATAGAGAGAATTGGTGTATTTACAGAAAAAATTGGTGTGAAAAGTCCAAATTGCCCTTTAGTTGGAAATGGATTGGATATTTTAGATTTAGTTTGAATTCAATGGAATGTAGGATGGTTATGAAGCCTAATTGTATACTAAAACATAATCAAGTTAGGGTTAGGGCTTAAGTAAACCAACTTGGTTACAAGTAAAAGACAGATACATAATGCACTTGTACTTTGGTCAAATATTCTTCCTAAAATAAAGCAATTTGTCTCCAAAATACATATATATATATATATATATATCTTCAAGGGGGTGGCTGCCCCTGTGGGGTAGATTTGAAGGGATTTTTATTTTTATTTTGTGTACAATTTGTATACTATTTGTAGATATTTTTATGCACAAAAGATTTAAATAAGTTTAAAGTTACAACATGTATGTATTTATATATAATAGTATTAACTTGGGGCTAATAAAAACGTGAGGGTTTTGGCTTTAATTTATAAATTGGAATATTTATTTAAATGTAGAATTAAATTAAATTAAATTAGGGTTACAGAATCTAATTTGGTATTGATTTCTAGTTTCGAATAAAAAAGCTATCAATTGACAAACATGATGCAAACCAGAAAAATCTAGGGTTTCAAGTGGTAAATCCATATTTAGAGAGTCATTTAATCAGTATTAGGGTATTAGAAAATTCTTAATTAGCTTAGCATTGCTAATTTTCAATAAGGTTTTGTAATAATTAATTAGTGTAACGTAGCTAGCTAGTTGATTTATTCAGACCCTCCGTCAAGAGGTCGAATTTTGTAATAAGTGTGCGTGAGTGTGTGAATGTCTTCCAACTCCACATCTTTCTCCCTTTTACTTAACCGCTTACGATGGTTAGTTCTAGGTCATATTTTGATTAGCATCCCTATGCTATGCATGTTTGCATCATTCATCTGTATTGCATGCACCGGACTCGGCGCATTATACTAACTGAATTGTGTTTCAATTTCGATTTGAATACATGTTATCAAGTTGCATTTCATATGCCATCTTAGAATAGCCGAGCCTATTTCTAGTTGCATTTTACATGCGTTGCATTAGTCATCTTAACATAAACTAGGATCATGCATGATTTCTAACTAGTTGTTGTTTTGGCTCGGAGTACACTGTACGTGTTTATTTTTTAGCATCTTGCATGTATGAGTGTTAACATGACAGCATGCTTGCCATGAGGTTATTTTCTTAAATGATATAACTGCCTGAATGCCCGTGGGTGAAGGTTGGATTGCTTGAATTGGAACAATTCATCAAATGCGAGTTTTAAGCCCACTTGAAGTGGCAAAATCATGTTGTTTTCTAAGTCCACCTGAGGGTGGCAAATCTGCATCGTAGCCTACTTACGAGTAGCACTTTCAAATCACTTTCAAAAACAAACATGAGTTGTTTTGTTCCAACTTAGGCGATCTAGTCTATATTTGTGTGCTGTGCGCATCACGTAGTAAGCTAGCTGATAAATCGGAATAAGAACACGTGTATTTTCAAAAACAACATACCATGCTTAGTAGAGGCCGATCTTTGATCGGGCAAGCGGGGGTGCTTATTTCAGGACCTTCCCCTCTCGTAACCAAGTTCCCAAGCCGAGGCAACTTTGGTAATGGCGGACACGTGGCCTTAGGCACGAGTCAGGGTTTCCTAAATTTTCCAAAACAAAATATTTAGGTGGCGACTCTGAAATCTGGCAAAGCAGTCCATGTTTGGCGCTTTTTGATTAAAATCGATTTTCCAAAACGATTTGCCGGATTTAGACTCTTTGGTTATTTATCAGTCTTACATTGCACTTTGTGAGATTAGATTCAGAACCGTGACACAAGTCTGAACTGTAGTAGCTTAATGAACAAAACGATTTCGCGCTTTCGCGCGCAGAGCCGGGACGTTCGGGCACGTCTACAAAGCCTGATTGTATACTAAAACATAATCTAGTTAGGGCTAGGGCTTAAGTAAACCAACTTGGTTACAAGTACAAGACATGTACATAATGCATTTGTACTTTGGTCAAATATTCTTCCCAAAATAAAGCAATTTGTCTCCAAAGTACATATATATATATATATATATCTTCAAGGGGGTGGCTGGCCCATGTGGGGTGGATTTGAGGGGATTTTTATTTTTATTTTGTGTACAATTTGAATACTATCTGTAGAAATTTTTGTGTACAAAAGATTTAAATAAGTTTAAAGTTACAACATGTATGTATTTATATATAATAGTACTAACTTGGGGCTAATAAAAATGTGAGGGTTTTGGCTTTAACTTATAGATTGGAATGTTTATTTAAATGTAGAATTAAATTAAATTAAATTAGGGTTACAGAATCTAATTTGGTGTTGATTTCAAGTTTCGAATAAAAAGGCTATCAATCGACAAACATGTGAGGGTTTTGGCTTTAACTTATAGATTGGAATGTTTATTTAAATGTAGAATTAAATTAAATTAAATTAAATTAGGGTTACAGAATCTAATTTGGTGTTGATTTCTAGTTTCGAATAAAAAGGCTATCAATCGACAAACATGATGCAAACCAGAAAAATCTAGGATTTCAAGTGGTAAATCCATATTTAGGGAGTCATTTAATCAGTATTAGGGTATTAGAGATGATTCCTAGGTTACTGAAATTGATTAGGATTTGTGAGTTTTCGTTTCTAGGGTTTTTAAAATTATTTAAGAAATCAAGGGTCTTCATTACAAGATTCCACAAGTAAGAGGCTTTTAAGAAAATAAAATTTTTAGGGGCCTTACAATCACTACCACCGCCGCCGCCGCCACCACCACCACCACCACTACTATACTATCACCTTTTTCACTATTGTCATTATTTCCATAAGTACCACTATCGCTATTGCTACCGCTACAACCACCATCATGCCGCCACCACCACCATCAACGCTACGGCTACCGCTATCACTACCACCGCTACCATCACAATATAAAATTTGAAATATACAATTTGAAAATAATAAATTTCAAATTTGCTCTTATACATATCAAACAACTTATTTTTAGTTCAACACTTAAATTTGTGTCAAACAACTTTTTAACTTACAAAATTCAGCATTTAGTTTTTAATATTTAATTTTCAATTTTATCAAATATCACCTAATGTTGTTTTGGAAAATGCACAGAGAGAAGGAAAATATGCAATTAATCTTAATTTTCTCAACCCAAAAAAATAAAATTCAAGTTTATTATCAAATTTCTATTAGGGAGGCCGTTCAATTTTACTTTTCAAAAACACTACCGCAAGGAAGATTCTAGGGTTAATTACACTTCATAGTTTGATTCAAATTTCAATTTTGTTCCTATAGTTTCAAATTAAACAA